AAGAGAAAATGATACAAATATAATTTTGCCTTTCCAAAAAGCTTAATCAACAAGTTAGAAAGAGGGATAATGGTGGACTTGAGAATCTAGTTTCTTGAAAACTGTTGTAAAAGAAAGATTTTATAAATTTCTATCGACAGTAGGTGCAAACTGTTCAGTCAATGAATGCCAAAGTTGTTCTACATTGAAACTGATATTTTCACCATTATCAGCATTAAAAATAATTCGCTAAGTAGACATTGGATAATTTATGTTTGGAAAAAAGATCTGAACGAAACAAAATAAAACTTACATACTTAGGTTTTCCTTCAACCCCTCGATCACGATGACTTGTGACTTTGTGTTAGCACAACCGTCGAAGAATAGTTTAGTCTAGTCAACTTCGGTCACCCCGTGGTATTGTTTTTAAGGATATTGCAACGGTGCCGTACGCTGGAATCGCTTTCTATGCCGTTGATATCAAGCAATCAATAACCTTGAAAAATCGATCATGTTGAGATTAGAATCCGTATTTTAATGGTCGGAAAACTAAACTTTTAACCACTCGGCCACACGTGTATACGAAAATACATAAAAATAATGAATATTTCTTCGTAAAAGAAGAAATGCAGAGGAAATTCTGTATCAAAAATTTCAGGCAGCTCTGTCACGAATATTGTAGACTATTGTGGTTTCTTTATTAAATATTCACATCTAGCGCGTCAAACTTAACTCAAACGTCCATAAACGCACACGTATATCTAACGTCTGTTTGAAAAGTTTGAATTTTGCGAGATTCAGTGGAGCGTGCTTCATGTAACTTGGCAGCCAGTCGGAGGTTATGTTACTATGTATGCTTGAACAGAAACTCTCCCGTGGGGTTATTAAATCGGTAGCAAGGCACCTTTGAGTGAACATATGTGATGTCTACCGTTGCACTATGCTGCAGGCATTCTTGGCAAAATATCAGATCTGCTAAATCTATCATCACCACCCCCACAGACTTGGCTTCATGCTAATTCTTGTTATTTTCACAGTTAAAATCAACATGGAAACGCTTTGTCCAAGACAATAGTGAAATCAACATGTCAAAATTTATAGACACTTTGAACCACATGGAAGGGACGCTGTAATAACTGAAAGAGTTTTAATGAGGAGCGGTTTGACTTGGACTAAGGCAAAATATGTTAGATATTTTATCATTTACTTAAACAATAAAATGACTGATATATATATATATATATATATATATATATATATATATATATATATATATGTGTGTGTGTTTCATTAAATAATATAGACAAGTTGTGTCTATTTATTTTAAGCAAAATCCTTTAATAACGTCTGATAAGCTTAGTAACATTATAATTGAATGACGAAAGAAAATCACCATATTGATATGTGTTTTATTCTTAATCCTTTCTAAGCTTTCGGCTTACATGAGTCATCATCGGAGATTAAAGATGGTAATTTTGCAACAATGATTGTTTGTTTGCATGGAAGGTCGCTATGCAAGGATAAATTCGTGCATATGAAACGCAGGAAGTAAATATCGCATTGCAGTTCATTACGTCAGACTTGACCACGTGAGAGTGAATATGAAGAGAAGTGTTAGGTATGGTAAGCCGTTGGTATTTAATAATGGAAACATGCTGCCTAAATACACACTATAGAGAGAGAGAGAGAATTAAGGACTCCAAACGGATATTATTTCTTATTAATATAAAATTATATTTAGTGATACCTATGTTTGAGAGGACGTCGCTGTTTTTATTGTGGACAGTATATGTAATTTATATCTACCGATCTAAACAACCAAGTCTTATGGAGTAAACATAACCTGTGCTACAATGAGTCATACGTATTAACAGACGTGATTAAAAGAAAAAGTAACTAAATGAAATCGACTTTACCATATACCAAAAAACACATAATTAAAAAATTAAAGTTGCAGTGTCCCCTGTCATTCATGCGTTTGTATAATCACAAATATCTCTTCAGTCTGATGAAGTTATAATGGATAAAACGCGACATATGAATATTTTCCCAATTTGTAATAGATTTCTCTTAAATTGGACAGTTTAAAAAAAAAAGCGGGAAAAATCATTAAGGAGAGAGAACAATAAAAGAAATGGAATTAAGAAGACAAAAGTTAAAGATTGACACTTCATTTAAATTTTTGAATATCAAAGTTGACTGGAAAGCAAGAACCCGGAAGAGTTTCACAAGGGAGAAGAGCAAGAGAAGAAATTGTTGGCTTCGTACTTAGTTAGATTTAGCCATTTCAATTGTAAAAATTATGAGACCTTACCGCTAATCTAGTACTGTGCTTAAATTCATAAAGTCTCATTACCATAGAGGAAATTTTCTCAGAACACTTACCATGAAAGAAAAAGGCAGAGGGAAGTTACGGCTGCGGGGAACTTATCTAAGCCGAGATATCAGTAACATTACAGATTCTTTTTTAATTTTTATATAAAAGATTATATAGTTTTCAAATATATATATATATATATATATATATATATATATATATATATATTATTTATAAAACGCAGATTGTGTGTGTGTGTGTCTGTACATTTATATATTGGATCGATTTCCTACATTTTCAACCGATTTTCAACAGGACTTCGTAAAATTACCTTGCAGGTGGTTCTGACAGCGCCAAAATTTGAAAAACACAATTGTTTTTGCACAAAATCAATTTGAAAACACGATTAAGGGCATCACTCGAATGAAAGGGTATAACTCATATCGAGTTATACTTATTATAAAAACCCAGGTTGTTTGTCTGTGTGTTCGTTTATATATGGGATCGGATTTCCATTTTTTCAACCGATTTCAACAGGACTTCGTAAAATTATCTTGCGGTGGTTCTGATAGCGCCAAAATTGAAAAACACAATTGTTTTTGCACAAAATCAATTTGAAAACACGATTAAGGGCATCACTGCCAGAATGAAAGGGGTATAACTCATATCGAGTTATACTTATTATAAAACCCAAATTGTTTGTCTGTGTGTTCGTTTATATATGGGATCGGATTTCCTACATTTTTCAACCGATTTCAACAGGACTTCGTAAAATTATCTTGCGGTGGTTCTGACAGCGCCAAAAATTGGAAAAACACAATTGTTTTTGCACAAAATCAATTTGAAAACACGATTAAGGGGCATCACTCGCCAGAATGAAAGGGGTATAACTCATATCGAGTTATACTTATTATAAAACCCAGGTTGTTTGTCTGTGTGTTCGTTTATATATGGGATCGGATTTGTGTTCGTTTTCAACCGATTTCAACAAAACTTCATTTTTTTTTTTTTATTGCAGGTAGTGTTTTCTTATTGTCTTGCACACTTTTTTTTATTTTTATATTCAGAATGCTTTAAAAATTCCATTTACAAGACAACTGTTTATGATAAAATTCTATTCAATCGATAGACTCATAACGATTGAAAACAATGTTTTTGTTTGAGTTTGGGTTTGACCAATTCGTAAAAAAACAAAAAAAATTGATTAAGACATGCCTGTCTGTCAACCTTAAGCAACAATCTTTGTCAATTTTATTTTTCAGTCTTTATGTTGGTCGATACTTGATCTATCTCTTATATTACATCCCCGGGCAACGCCGGGCTCCACTACTAGTATATATATATATATATATATATATATATATATATATATAAGCTTTTCCTAGAAATGTTTACAATTAGTAAATGAGTCATATAAGATTTCTTATGCAACTCACGGTTACATATATATATATATATATATATATATATATATATATATATAAAGTGAGCATTGAAGTAAACACCCAGAAGCCACATTGGTAGCACAATTATACTCATACACACGCAGAGTAAAAAGAACCTTCAAATATTGGAGGCTTAAAACGAAGCAATCCACATTGAAAAAAATACATTTGAAACTTGTCCCAACACATTACATCGCATCTAGACATTGCTTCTGTTGTAATACATCGGTCTATCGCGTGGTATGACGTCATAGAACCGCACTTACTTAAGATCTGCGTCTGCTATTCCGCGACCATTAACGTCGCATAGCAATCTTCTATGTTAGTATAACAAAATACCATCTTGACAGTGGATATATTTGTTTCATGTCTGTATAACCAAACTGGGGATGGCTCATGTGAATCGAAAGCTTCGGACAAACCTAATAAAAAAAATATCCAAATGTTGCACACTTTTTCTCTTTATTTTCACCAGAAATTAAAGCAAACATTAGAACAGCTCATGATCAGACATAATAGACATTCATTGTCTGTTTTATTTAATAATAATGTTTTAATAATCATATATATATATATATATATATATATATATATATTAATGGTGAAAAAAATATATATCAGAATTATGCTAGAAATTTAATGATACCTTCCTTGTTAGATCTTCTATTATCACGATGCCACATACTGAAAAAAAAAACTTTAAAAATATAAACAAAAAAAAAAGAGAAACGAAATTTACTAGACTATCTAAATATTCTTTTAATTAAAATTTAAAATTTCTTCGTCCCCAGGTGTTTTTACCTCACCGTAAATTCTAAAGGAAAAAATTAGTCACATTATATGTGATAATATATAATGGGTAAACTATTATATTATATATAAGTGCACTTATTGATTTTAGTTATGTTTCATATATATAAAGATTTCAGTTAAGAAAAAGAAACAAAATCTCTAAAGTTAGTGAATTGATCGATTGATTGACTTTTTACGACTTATCAGCCTGTTACATGTTATTTAAAGCCAGAAAATATATTTAAAATGTAAGAATTTTTTTTTTTTTTTTTTTTTTGATATAATAATAATGTTTTACTTATACAAGTCTTACAAATTAATCTATAACTGGGGGAGAGTACATGGATTCTTTCCTTTCCCAGGAATATTTTCGCGTAAATTTAATATAACCAACCCAACAGTAACAAACTTGGTTCCCCTATTAACAATTAAGTGCCAGTATTTATTACACCACCTGCACATCCAAGCTTACATCAGCTGGTATTCCCAAGCGGTGAGCCATCTAGGTACTCACTCGGTTCGACGTTGCTTAACTTCGGTGATCGTACGGAGACGGGTGTTTCAACGTGATATGTCCGTAAGCCTATGTTATTAGAGGATGATGGCAATATGTTGTACACTCTAAATAAAATGGACAGTGATCAAAATGAAATTTGAAAACATTGGCACGACAAGAACAATTGATACAAAAACTGAATATGATATCAAAGATTGTCCACTCCGTAGTTTTGGTGACCGGAAAACATTATTTCTTTGCTCATTTTTTCTTTCTCAATTCTAACAGTTCCACTATCCTAATCGTTAAAGTCCTCAATTTTATCACTTTCCACGCGAGTTCCTGTTAAATGTTCGCTGTCGTTTAGGGTGGATGTATATGTGGATTAATGGATAGAGTCCGAATATAAGAATTCGGAGAACTGAGTTCGTAAACCAGCAGAATTCCCTACATTCACTTACGCGCGAATATGCTTGGAAAAGATATGACACTATGTCTTCCCTCATATATGGGTCTTATAGTAGGATTTGTACCTGGCAAAATCAGTGTTGTTCTCAAAAAATGTTAATGCAATATTAAAAAACAATTCTTGCAATCCGAAATAGGTTTCGGCTTTAAATAACCCCGATATGATAGATTATATTTTTACGGCATATCAGTTGGTTTTTGTTGCAACTCGATGCTACAGCCACGTAAATGAATAAGGCAGCCCACTCTCTTCGATGGCGTGATCGGTTTCATACAAAAAAATCCCCCTGGAAGCTCTATTTCTCATAAAATTCATTCAACATTCGTAATTCTGTTTAATAATACACTTAAATAAAGTTTAATCCCATGACATACATGGGTTAATAATACAGTAATAAAGTATACCGTACTTCAGTGCGGCAATGTGTACGCTTTGTGACCCACTTTGCGACGACCGTTCCTCGGAAAAGGCATAGTAAAAGAACGAGTCTATGTTCAACAATTAGTGTAGAGAAGGTCGGTCGTCTTTCTAAACAACACTTCATATTTTCAGATTTTTCTTTATGGTCATACCATTTTTTTTTATATAATAGCATCCAAATGGCTTGCATTGTTCCCAGTGTTTGTATGTTCCACCCATTACTATGTCTTTTACTTTTATTTTCTTGTCTTCTTTAATTTTCCTTCTTTTCTTTTACACTTCCCTACTTTCGTTTATATGTTTACGTTATATATTCCTTCTGCCTGAATTTCAGTTATTCGGAGTTATCGTCATTTACGCTATTTACATTGGGACATATGTCCGCATCTTTGTTGCTATTAACATAACATCAAAAATAAGGACATTAATACCAATGTAAATTATAGCTTCTTGTTTTATTCTTTCGCATATTCTCTCCTGTGAATGGTTCATTTCCATTCTTTCAAATTATTTTTTTTCTTTTTCTTTATTTATTCTTTGCAATGCCGAGGGCTGTAAGCTTGAATGTGCGAGTGATATAATTGATAATAGCGCGGAATTATTAATCGGAGAGCTGTGTTTTGATTCTAGATGGGCTCGTTATATTCACTTACGAGCAATTATCATTGGGACAGCTGTGAATCCCCCTCTACTCCCCAGATATGGGTTAATTAGTAAGACTTGTATAACTAGATCATTATTATATAAAAAATTCTTACATTGTAAAATTATTTATTGACTTTAAATAACCTAAAAAGAGTTGATAAACCGTAAAAAAGGAATCAATCGATCATTAATATCTTATTTATTTTCCTTAACTGAAATCTTTATATATAAGAAATTGAAAATTAAAATCAATATGTACAAATATATGTTATAGTGTACTTTTATGTATATTATATTGTTGTAACCTAGAAATGGTTACTGAATGAGGAATTACCAAAACAGAGGTTGGAAATGAAATGCTAATCTTTATAACATCAGCAAAATGCAATACTCGCCAGCGGCGTGAAGTAGGTAAAGCACTACTAGTGGTGGACTACTTAGACAGCATATTACTCCCACTTACAATAGTGTCCAACATATTTAGGAGGATTGAGACCCAATATTGTTCATAGGTACGGTATATAACATATATATAGTCTAACAGGTTTCTTCCTTTAGAATTTCACCAGACAAAAGTGACGTTTACGTTGAGATAATTACTCATGGGCTCATACGAGAGGATACGCAGAAATTTAAAAGGGAACACACACACACATATATATATATATATATGTATATATATATATATATAGCCAGTTTGCTTTATCGTTTTGTTAATAATTTTTATCGCCTTTGTTACTGAGTATGTCACGTTGCGATAATACAATTTGGTTCGATATATTCAGTTAAAACCAAATATGCTTGGTAAAGGTAAGTATTCGCTTCTTCTCTCCACATGTATGAGTTAATTAGTAAGACTTGTATCACTAAATAATTATCTCCGAAAAATAAAGAAAAAGTCTAAAAATATTTTTGGCTTTAAATAACCTGCAAAAGGTTAATAAGCCGTAGAACCCGCATCATTCAATATTTCTCATTCTCTGTCATTTCATGAGATCCTTTCCTTCTTAATTCTTTCCCTTCATTCCTGTATTAATGTTCCTTTCATTTGCAATAGCTCATTCTTTTTTCTATACTTTAACTTTTCCTTTATTCTATATTCATTTTCCTTCTCTTTTATTTAATTCCCAACTCTTCGTTTCTACATCCGCATTTTTTCTTTTCCTTTCTACTTTCTAGCTCAGCTCATATTTTTTCCCCCCTTCATTCATTACTATTCATTCCTCTTCTCCGTTTCGCTTCCTACCGAAATCTTTTCTTCTCATTTTGCTCTTGTTTTCCTGTTTGTTATTAAAACACTTATTTCTCCGCATCCTTTCGAGGCTGCCTGAACGATCCACACAATGTTTGGTATTTCCCGTTCGAAAAAAGTTCACAGATCTTTCCGGCTTGAAAGAATTGCCGTCCTTGAGTCTGATTCCTGATTCTTTCAGACGTACGGGCGCATGCGCATACAGCCATAAGATGTAAACAAGGGCGTTAATGATTAAGAGGGTGGAACAAGAAATGCGTAGCATGTGACTGTTTTAACATATTTTTTATCAGAAATTATCGCGTCATCTCTGTGGAAGCACTTTTTGCCCTTGGCATGCAAAAATCATATTACACCTCCATGATTGTCCATTTTTAAGTTGTCACTCGGCTTTGCTGTGTGGTTGCATACGGTGCACTCAATATTAGGGCTGTTCTTGCTGTTAAAGTAGTATCGCATATTCTCTGTTGCTTTTCGCATGGGGTTTTCGTAATGTCTTTTAGTTCCAGTCGATGCAAGCCAAACTATTTCGGATTTTGCGTACATTCTAATTATGCTAAGTTTCCTCGACCGCATTTGTAACAAATCATATATTTATCGGCCTTATGAGGTTGCATATTTATTTTTCTGAATAAAAATGTTTAATTCTAATTCAGGAGGTATGATATATATATATATATATATATATATATATATATAATGAAAATCAGACCACTTTAAGCTATCATTACAATAATTTATCAGGTAACACTTCCAACAATTGTTCATTGTTAGAAGTGTTACCTGATGATCCGAAATCCTTTAAAAAGGATTTTGGTGAAATAAATTATTGCAATGGTACCTTAAAATGGTCTGTTTTTCATTAAATATTAGCTCTGTTCTTCACATTGAGCTCTCAGGATTTCATCCTCCTTGGGTTTACCAATTCGGTTTACCAAGTTCTTCATAACTTTATATATATATATATATAACAAATTTCTGAATGGTAGGGCTAATTACAAGAAAATTTTGAGGATTGAGTTCGGTTATAATTTATTTCATGAAAGTTTCTATATATTTATCTCTTCAGACCGAAATCTTTTGGTAAATAGAGACAATTTCTCCGAATTTGTATGCTAGATTGACAGGGGGAAGAGAAAGGAGGAAAGGAAGAAGGAACGTGACAAATGGTAAAGTTCTGTGGAACAAGTGAGAGAGAGTAAGGAAATGGAAGAAGGAAGAGATGAATGGATAATACTATGCCTAAAATAGATAGACCCGGTCAAGAATTTTTCTTAAATTGTGGAACATCGGGTTATACAGCAAATTGACCGATATGGCCTGTTAACTTTAGATAGGACAAATCAACACAATTTCAAATTCTTAGTCGAATGAAGTGACACTTACTACATAAAATAAATCTAACAACGATAATAATATCAAACCTAAATAAAGCGATTTTCAATACAGACGGAAAATAAAAATAAAGTTGAAGAAACTGTGTAAGATGATGTATGGATAATTATACAAAAGATGTTAATCGAGATTTATAAATATAAGATATGTACATATACACGTGTTGTGTTCATTTTATTATACAAAATATTTCATATAAGATAACGTGTTAAACCATATAACTACAGAGAAATTATCAGGTGAGCAAGGTGGAATAACAGTTTTTTAAAAAATATGAGGGTCCTGTGTAGGATGTATTTTCGATTCCTGTCGGAGAAGACATATGTACTATGAGATTTCTCAATATTCCGTCCAGCAAATGTTATTATATTTATTGTAAACAGATAATTTACGTTAAATAGTATGTATTAAAATAACGTATGAGTAGAAAATGTATTAAAATAATTGATGGACATTATATGTTTCAATTTCTTATATATATATATATATATTCTGGTGAAATTATATATAAATATAATATTCTGGTAAACTTATATATATATATAAATATTCTGTAAACTTATATATGTAATATTCTGGTAAAACTTATATATGTATAATATTCTGGTAAACTTATATATGTATAATATTGTAAACTTATATATATATAATATTCTGGTAAAACTTATATATATATAATATTCTGGTAAACTTATATATAAAATGTGTATTTGTATGTGTGTGTATATATATATATATAATGTTGTGTATTGTGTGTGTGTATATATATATATATATATATATATATGTTTTGTATTTGTATGTGTGTGTATATATATATATATATATATATATATATATATGTTTTGTATTTGTATGTGTGTGTATATATATATATATATATATATATATATATGTTGTGTAT